GCCAGTTTGTTCACTTCACCTTAGTTTCTTTCTTACTTTAGTGTTTTTGTGAGCATTTTTTACCCTGGAAAAAGGCCTTAATCCATCTTTATTTTACGTGCCAATATCTCTGTCAATAAAGTAGGCATCGTGCACATTACAACGGAACAGGAACAGTACAGGGGCATACAGCAACAGGAATGAGAAGTAACCCGTCCCGCCCTCAGTGGCTAACACCGGCTGAGAAAATTAAATTGCAATCACGTGCACGATGAAGTGCAACCGTGCACAACAAGTAGTATGAGTAAGGTAAGTCGTAAATAAAAAATAAAGAGTAAGTAAAGACGTTAAAAAAACATTATAGGAAGGCAATTCTGAATAGATGTATTGCACGGACCACAGAATTGAAAGAGGTCTGCAAGTGTTAGTGCTAGAAATTTGGCCAAAGTTTCGGGGATAAGGATCACTTTGGATATTAAAATGCAAGTGATACGGCGGGTCGAGGCTGGTGATGTGTGTCGTGAGCATCAGTTGGATGACCTGACGAGTACCATACAGAATACTGATGTTTTTTAAAATAAAAAAGAATACATTTAAATGTAAAATGTTTAGCATCTGTATTATTTGCGCTATTGCCGATACCCAAATGAAGCCCTGATATTTTGTTCATACGTAATAAATAACAGTCGGGAATGCATATGCATATATAATAATATATAATAGCCCTTTTGGCGCTGATTTGATTTGCGCTTCTTCAGGAACGCATCTTGAGTGCCAAGTGAGTTTTTGGGCAGGTACCTTCAACCCATAAATCTCATTTTTTTCTGCATATCAGTGCAAGCTGCAGCTAGTAAGCTGCAGCTAGTGTTAGCCATCTAGTTAAAAATAATGGGCGTTTTTTGGCACACTTTGAGCGTCTGAGAGCAAGGCAAAAAATAAATCTTAAAATCTTGCCGTCTCGTTTGCCCTTAATACATCTTCTTTGAGTCGTGTATTTTTTGTAAAAAAAAGTTTAGCACCTGTAGTAGTAATAGTTAAAATTCAAATTTACAGAAGAAACTATGCGGGATTGAAATATCCAGTGCCATCTCGTGCATTTTATATGCCTTGTAGTCGGCCACGATGTGGATATTTGTGCTGTCAGCAAAAGTCTCTCCCGTTTTGAGAAATGGGAGAGACTGCATCGGCTACTGAATTGGCCAGGATACAAGGCTGCACACTGCAGAAATTGCCTCGGCTCACACGGCATCAAAGTGCCCGTCTCTATGCCTTATCGCTGTGGTCCCTCATACCGAGGGTTGTGGCCAGTGGCTGCTGCCATTTCAGGAGTTTCCTTTCCCTCCTTCGGTTACCAGATTTGGAACTGTTGCTATAGTTATGACTAAGTGACCAAAAAAAAGTTTAAATTTTCACGTTGAAGGACATGTATGTAAAAGGACCAAATTATTATTTGCTTATTGTTTACTACTGTAAGGTGGATTGTGCAATCCTGCCCCACTTACAATATGTTTTGCCACTCTTTGATTTGGGGTCAGGCAATTGAAAAGTTTTGTGACTGTGCCCAGTGTTTAATCACACGCGTTTTTATCAGGTTGGAGAAGGAATTGTGGTTCTCAAAAAACAACACAATTGAGTGCGCTGCTTTGAATTATTTCTGGCCCAAGTGGCGTAATTAAACACTCGTTCCCTTTGTCGTCAGTGATGACGTTTGTAGATGTTGTAAGCGACCTGTGTTGAACTGCTGGCATTGTTATTGACAGAATTTCGATCGTAGGCACATGCAATAAAAAAATGTAGATAGGCATGCTGTAATATTGTCTGCCACATAGCTCCATGTGGAAGGTAAATACTACAATAAGTAATACAGAACCACAGCCTTGGTCAGACTCGTCATAGCTCAACTAAGTTGCATGTTAGCTGAACGCCAATACTATACAGTACTTTTCGATTTAAAGCTTTCGTGACTGCAATGATTCATCTTCTTTGGTTCTTTCGGTAAAGTCACGTAGAATGAGAATAAAATAATAAATTGATAAAATAAAATAACACAATAATATTCTCACGACGTTTTGGCCACAACACAAGGGGCCTTCATCAGGTGAAGGGACGAGACTGTCTGGTAGGACAGCGCTGGAGTGAAGGAGCCACGTTCAGATCACGGCCTTTAAGCTGTGTGAGAGGAAACAAAGCGCCTTGACAAAGGAATTAGCATATAATTTAGCATTGAAATGGCTGAATGATTAGCTTGTGACTGGTCACAGAAATAGTTATGTTAAAAGTTAAAGCATACACATCCGCAGAGGCACCCCTTGACAATGGAATTAGCATAGAATTTAGCATTGAAATAGCTAAGTTAAAGCATACACATCCGCAGAGGCACCCCTTGACAATGGAATTAGCATAGAATTTAGCATTGAAATAGCTGAGTGATTAGCTTGTAACTGCTCACAGAAATAGCTACGTTAAAGTCAGACCATACACATTCACCGAGGCACTTAGTGTGGGCTCACATGACATTGACTTCTCCAAGACGGAGGTTCTTTGCAAACAAACCGGCTACCATGAGAGATTTGTTCATGAGGCCATTCACATATACAAGCACAGAGACAATTTCAACCGAGAAGATGGATTCTGGCTTGGTAACCACTGGAAAGATGTTTTAAATAATTTCTGTTCTTAATTAATTGTATTTTTACGATGACCTTCAGACCGCAGCTCTTTCGCCAGCATTGCCTCTTAATACCTCTCACACCACGGTTAATGGTATGGTTTTACAACATGGAGTATACTAGGGCCTCGCAGCTGTCTCTCTCCCCCTCCTCTGTTCCGACCATGGATGAACTCGTCCGTCTGAACGGGGCCCGTAGCTATCCGTGGTGCTAAAGTTGAGGGTAAGAATCCACCCATTTTTTCGCCATATAGCATTGTGATATATAACGACTTATTGTTGGTAGCTTAGCTGATTGGAGAATATAGAGTTTATTGATAACATTAAGGTAATTTATATTTTAGTTTTTATTGGTTCACTATATAGTACTGTGAATAGCTCAGATGTGTAGGCCTTGACTTCAACATAGTCATTTCTGTGACCAGTCACTAGCTAATCACTCAGTTATTTCAATGCTAAATTCACCTAGTTATTTCAATGCTAAATTCTCCTGTTTGATTTGTACTAAGTGCCTCGGTGAATGTGTATGGTCTGACTTTAACGTAGCTATTTCTGTGAGCAGTTACAAGCTAATCACTCAGCTATTTCAATGCTAAATTCTATGCTAATTCCATTGTCAAGGGGTGCCTCTGCGGATGTGTATGCTTTAACTTAGCTATTTCAATGCTAAATTCTATGCTAATTCCATTGTCAAGGGGTGCCTCTGCGGATGTGTATGCTTTAACTTTTAACATAACTATTCCTGTGACCAGTCACAAGCTAATCATTCAGCCATTTCAATGCTAAATTATACGCTAATTCCTTTGTCAAGGCGCTTTGTTTCCTCTCACACAGCTTAAAGGCCGTGATCTGAACGTGGCTCTTTCACTCCAGCGCTGTCCTACCAGACAGTCTCATCCCTTCACCTGATGAAGGCCGCTTGTGTTGTGGCCGAAACGTCGTGAGAATATTATTGTGTTATTTTATTTTATCAATTTATTATTTTATTCTCATTCTGCGTGACTTTACCGAAAGAACCAAAGAAAATATACAGTACATTACACAATAACATAATTAAACATAAATGAACATTAAATTTACTTTACATACCTTTCGTCTTGAGGGTAGACTCATTTACCCCAAAGACTCTCCCCTCAGATGCAACCCTTGCCAAGTACAAACTTATACCTATCACTTTTTTTGCTCTCTTTTTTCTTACCTTCACCACTCGCTGTTCTTCGGGTCCATGATTAAGGGAAACATGTATATGAATGACCAACAAATAGAATCAAAATATGCATTTGCGTTGCGACGCGGTCCATGCACTGCAAGAATCAACAAAACACATGGACAGCTGATAAGCTACGACACAGCACCACGGGTGATACGGAGGAGAACCGTGGCCCTGTGAAATTTGTAAATGCATGTTGAGGACCCGGGCTTACCTGTGGATACTTAAAATTTCCAGGTTGCATTGCTACATTTGTATACAGAGAGTAAACCGTGTGTACATGAATTCCGTGGTTGGTGAGGGATTGCTGTGCAAGGAATAGTCTCGTAAGAAAATCTGTGATGAATCTCCTGAAACTCTCTGGTTCTTTCGGTAAAGTTACGTAGAAATAAATAAATTTAATAATAATGGAATACGACGTTTCGATTGCAACACAAGCAACCATCATAAGGTACAATTGAATGATAAAAAAACATAGCAAACTTAGAAATATAATGCAATACAACCCAGAGAGTCTGCTAACACAACAGTCAACATCCTACCTAGTTGATTAACGTTGTTCCAAAGAATGCTAAATTTGAGAGAGAGACAAATCACAGACACGGAGACAGACAGACACACAAGTAGAGAAAGAACATGTGTGTCTCTGTGTTCTCTCTCTATTTGTGTGTCTGTCTCCGTGTCTGTGAAATTTACACCTTGTTCCCTCTGTAAATGTCACCCCCACCCTCGCACCCGTTGCGGCGTCCCTCCCGCCCCCCCTCGGATTGGCCGATGTTTGCTAGCTCTTCGATCTTTTACTTGCAAATTCCATCCCTATCGCCGCCCACTTGCCCTTGGGTTGTGCCCACCACAGGCGTATGTGGCCTCTCGTGGTGGCTCGCTCGCTACATTTCTTCCTGCCTCAGCAGTCCGCCTGCTGTGTTGTTTCACCTGAAGACGATGGCTTGTGTTGCTATCAAAACGCCGTAATCTATATTTAAATGCATTTGTTGGGAATCTTCAAATAAGTGATGAGAAAACCCATGATGGTCAAAGTTTTGGTGTATCGCTGCATGTCAGTGTTACCCCTCACCTATCCACTCCAGTGCTGACGTTCCCCGTGCTTCCATCTTCCCCTCCCTTTGGTTCCACCCCATGCAGGAACACCACTTGCAGCGCGCCATCTCGGCGCAGCAGGTGTATGGGGAGAAGCCTGAGCACATGGTAATCCCCGTGCCAGAGGCGCAGAGTAACGTGGCGTACTACGACGGCCTCTACAAGGGCGATTTCAAGCGGCCCAAGACCTTCATCCACCTACAGCGTAAGCCTCGCGTGGAGCGCTCGACATGTGGTGCAGGATGCAGATCCGCTATTCTATGGCTGCAGTGTCTCCTGGTTTTCGCTCCAGCTGAGCTCTCACACTATTGGTAAAAGTTTTTCTAGTTATGCTGTGGCTGTCTTAGGGGTAGCAATGTGATATCCGCTGTCATGGGTTGTTCTCTAACATGAAGGGTTGCACTGCTTTGCAAGGGATTTGAATGGATTATCCATACATTGGTCACCAACACGCGTCTACTTTGAACATTACAAGCCATTCTAGTCCCCAGCACGTTTAACTTAGCTCACGTGTTAAAGTTGCATCATGTATAAATTTTATTACAAGTACTCATAGGCTAGAGGAAAATATCCCCATTGCCCCTCCTCCTTCGGGAGAGTATTCTGGAAGTGTACAGGGAAAAGGCTCAAACACAGGCCTTGGCGGTGTTTTGGGCTGATAGGGCCAGGAGTTCAGTTGAAGGACATCTGTAGGGCAGCGGTGTGTGGAGCTCGCCCCATACCTCCACCAGCCATAAGTGTGTGGACATTCAACACGCAGGAGGGTAACTTTGGGAGAGCTGTTCTTTCGGTTGTGGGTCTCAGTTATGCCTGATAGGGTTTGGAGGGGGAAATAGGCATTTTCCCCATCTCTAACTAGGCTCTGATACAGGTGCTTATTTATCTAGCCAGAGCGTGTCGGTGACCATCATATAAATAAATACAAAATTTGTGTATACATTAAATCTGGTTTTCATAGTTGAGTGACACTTTCCACATCACAAGATATCCTGTGCTCGCTGAGACGTATGTTTATGCTCAAGCTCGCAGAACAAGAATCACTTTGGATGGAGTGTTTCACACTTTGGATGTGGCAAAAGTGTTGAAATTATTTCTCTAGAGAATATTGGGCTGGCGGAAATCGCACCAGCTGTGTTCGTCTTGTATGGGAACTTGGTCAGGGGAAATTCGGGCTTTAAAGTGCATATTTCCATGGAGCTAAAGGAGTGCATTTCACAGGGCATCCAACGGATGATGCATGTCATCTTCTCCCTGCCCCGCCCCCTCCCTTGCAATGCGGAGGAGGGGCAGGGTGTGGAGGGAGAGGGTCCCACCTATCTGGAAAAGAAAATGTTTAATTTTATTAAAAGTTTTTTAGGTGCCCAGCACAGGATGGAGTTCATATACAACCAAGTTGGCGAATGCCATATGAACAATATCACAATGTGGTGTTCCAGTTCACTCCTAGAATGCATTCTTTTTTGTAAGATATTTTTTTGTTATTGGTGTTCAAGATCCAATGGTACAGGTGGAGTAACAGAGAAAGGGTGAGACAGCATATAACAGATCCACGGTTCACATAACGAATTTCTACACCTTCATGATAGGGGAATGGACAGGAGCTCTCAGGCACGTCACCCGACCATGCCAGGGTAAACAATTGGGGACTGAGTACTTCAAGGGGAAGGGGAGGAATTGGGGGAAAAGGGCAGGGAAGGGGGGAGACAATGTCACCAAACAAGACCCAAATATAATAACATAAATGCGACGTCTGGGTTTGTTGGGTTTTTTTTACTTCCAGGAGCAACGATCACTTATGTAAAGAAAAGGGTGGCATAGTGTCCACAGTCCATCCTGACTACCATATCCCTTCTCCCCGGCCCCCAATTCCATGGTTACTCATGGTCGGTTAAGCAAAATGGGGACCATGTGGCCACATTCCCTCTCCTTCCCTTTTAACTTATGGCTCGGAGGTTCCATACCCACCAGGATGAGGAGAGAGTCCTATGCCGTAGTCCACAAAGGGCGGTTCACGGTATTTCCATTTCGGTAGAATAGTTTTTCTCGACACTTTATAGAGGTTTTGGAGTCGGGTGTTATAGTAACTTGTTAATCCTTTTGGTCTGAGGGCCCAGTAGGGTTGAGTCAACTGAAAGGCTTACCCCCATGTTCCAAATATGGTTAAAGTAGCCTGTAATATGCTGGTAAAATGCTGAAGAGCCGCATGGCTCACAGGTTTATACCTAATAAATGAAACTGAAACTGAGATATCAGAGCATGTCCAAAAGGCGTGCGACTGTCTGCAATGTGCCCGGAGGGTATCTCGGGCAGTCTTCGGAGCAGTTATTGAATTTAGCTCTCCTCTTGTTCGTCATTTAGGTCCTGTAGATTAACTTGAATTGAATGAGTTTCATTGACTGACCTGGGGCCTGTAACTGGGGCCCGCCATATCTGAGTACACTTCCGAATAGGAATGTCTTATCCCGCAAATCATTCCGAGAGCTTTCTAGTTTTGGGTCTTACCCGTGATCCCTCTCCATCAATCAGGTGGTATGCCACTGCAGTTTTTATCTTCCCTTCTATTTCCCCAGCCAGTCTAAAATTGGTTGGGGAAATAACCAGGTCTTTGTCCGAGGCTTGGGTTATTGCATCCCGGATCTGAAGGAATCTAAAGACATGCGAGCATGGGATATCATGGTGCGCATACAGTTGCTCAACTGTCTTCACCATGCCTTGTTTAAGAGATCACCCACCTTTTTCAGGCCAGTCACTTTCCAGCTGAGCCAACAGAACACCAGGCCTCCCAATTTCAATGAAGGGTTACCCCACAACGGGGATTGTCTGCATTTGCGTAGGTGCTGGAGATCATCCATAGGGGTTGAAAGTTTTGGGGTTTATCCCTAGTAGGGTAAAGGTGATGCCAGATAATGGCGATGGGTTAACGGAGTCCTCTTCCCGTGCGTTTTCTGTTCCCCTTTTTAACGGGTTGATCCACTGTGTAATGTTCTGGAGGGTGATCGCTTTATGGTATTTCAGGAAGTTTGGAAGTGCAAGCCCCCCCCCATTCCTATGCAGGACGAGGGAATAATAGTCTATTTGTGCCCAGTTTTGATTCCAAATGAAGGAGGCAATGTGGGCATGGAGTGTCTTGAAAAAGGCCTTCAGGATACGGGTCTGAACCCTGCATAAGTGGTATAGGAACTTGGGTAGAACCATCATTCTGACCAAATGGGTCCTGTTCAAGAGGGAGAATGGAACGTCCATCCTTTCTTCAAGTGAGTTGGTAATCTCCTGGAGAATAGGGGGGAATTATTTTCCGAAAGAGTAAGGAGACTACAAGTTCCATTTCCAAGGGAGGCTTTTGTTGCAAATATAAATTAATTGATTCGTAGTCTATTTTTGGATTAGGAAACAATGATCTGGCGAAATCTGTCATAAAACCCTCCACCACCCGATATGACGAAACACTAAATGGTGAGTGTTCAAGCGTTTTAACGCACCTATTATTTTTTCCGCTATGCGGATTAACGACTTAAGTGTGAACATGGAGTGAGACATTCTCGCTGCTGCCCCCCTAGCGCTGAGCCTGGAGGTCGAGCATCCCGACTATGACCTGGACTCGGAGGACGAGACATTTGTAAACAAGCTGCGGCGGAAGGTGGACATCAACCTGATGCAGTTTGAGGAGATGATGGACCGACTCGAGAAGGGATGCGGCCAGCAGGTATCACCCATGCAGTACCACCTATGAGACTACCTAGATGGGCACATTGGGATCTACAGATGAAATGCCCCTTACAAATGTCAATTATTATTTCTATTATCCACAGCATCACCCTATATATCCTTGTCTGTTTGCATATTTAGTTTAATGGTCATCATTTGTCTGTTTTAATGTTTATGTATCTTCTAATGTTAATTGACTACTATATTTACCCAAGAATGTCAGCGTGTAACGTGCGTGGCGTCACTCCACGTCGACCAGCGCCGCTCATTAATAATCATGAACAGGTTACATCCTCCACATGGACCCACCCCTCATTAATAATTAATCCTGAGCGGGTGACGTCACTCTGCATGGAGAATCCCCCCTCATTAATAATCATGAACAGGTGGGGTCCTCCACATGGATCCCCCCTCCCCCCCACATTAATAATCTTAAGCTGGTGACGTCACTCCATATGGAGCACCCCCCCTCAATAATCTTGCGCAATTGACGGCATGCCACATCGAACAGCCCCCCTCATTAATAATCTTGATCAGGTGACGTCCCCCAATTAGACCCCCCTTATTAATAATCATGAGCGGGTGATGTCACACGACATGGGGGTAGGGGGGGCGCCTCCTCCACCCTCCTCAACGTCAACTTACAACCCTTACTACAAAAGCAAAACCCTCATGTCACACGATCTCCGTCACGCTATTGAGACATACAAGTAAAAAGGATGTCATGATGAACAAGGGATTTTAACCTTTAAATGAAATGAGTGTTTCACCACGGCTTTACAAATTGCACACAAATTGATGCAATGCATATCACGTCGCGGTCTGCTTTTCGCTTGCAAGTTTCAGATTTACTGAAATACACCCGTCCTTGGACGGGAAAAAGGCTAGTTTTACTATAATCAGTCTAAACATAATCTGGCCGAACCAACTTGTGCTATGTATCATTTGTCATTTATATTTTTGCAGTACTTTCAAGTTTATCGTGTGACAGTTGTTTTTGCTCTGATTTCTTTCTGCTTCATCGCTGTACTTTATTTCTTTTGTTTTACTTTCAGAAATTTAGTAACGTGGCTCACTCTTTGAAAATGAGACTTCTCATCTCTTAAGTTCTCACCTGTTTACACAGCTCCTAAACCCATTATATAACCCAAACAAGCTTGGTGTAATTTTTGATTTAAAGCTTACGTGACTGCAGGGATTCATATTCTTGGTTCTTTCGGTGAAGTCACGTTGAAGGGAAACAATAAAATAATAAAAATATAGAACAATAAAATTCTCTTCAACGTGACTTTACCGAAAGAACCAAGAATAAGCTTGGTTGAAGTTAATTTTGTTTAACCAGGTGAGAACTCAAGAGACTAGAATTGTTTCTTTAGCAAGATTGACCTGCGGCATTAGTCTGCTAGTAGGGTGGGAGGGCACCAATGATTGCTAAGTATAATTCCAATTGAGTAATTTGCTGTAAATTTGAAAATGTAGGCACGCCGTACACAATGGCCTACTCTTCCAAATGACAGGGTATATTTAACGTCCCCTATGAAGCGGACAGTGCTTATCGTTACGGTTATTACAATCCGCAGTATTAATCAGGGTGGCCACTGAATTCAGACTGTTAACCCCAGAAACTCATGGTAAACGCACTAGGCTGTCGTACCACGCAAACAATACTACCCACGGTACCACCCTCGGTACCATACACAGTGCCAGCCTTGTAGTACCTCCCACACAGTACCATTAACCACAATCCACGCTGCCTCACCAGATATAACGGTACGTCCCTGACGGACCCTACACTGCAAATTAGCAGGAGGAAAGTCCCAGGAGGTTCCCTGTGCCACGATAACACATGGGAAGTTCCCACGGGAGTTTCCATAGCAACAAGGCCACGGGAAAATATTGCCAGATGATTTTATGGAGGAAAGGTCCCAGGAGAGCTCCTGTGTTACGATAGAGTAGGAACAGGGCCCTGAGAGAACCACAGTCCTACCAGGATGCAGCGATAGAGGCTCGGTAGATTCCCCACGTGACCAAGTAGATCCACGGGGGTCGGGGGGCATAGGATGTGAGAGGGTCAGGAGGCTGGCAGCCAAGCAGACCTGGTGCAGAGCCAAAGAGAAAGAACACAATAATAAGAAAATAACACTTCAAGGATAAGCCATTGTGTCAGACAGTGTTGCAGCACAAATTGCACCCACTGCATGCAACGGAACAAGGGCACACGAAGCATGGGACATGGCTCATCTCTAATGGGGAGCAATGTTTTCAAGTCGAGCACAGTTTATGCAAATGAAATGCTCACGTTACATTTAGGTTAATAGATCAGAACGCTATAGAAAGAGACCGGACAATATAGAAGCAATACAATATAAATTGGAAAATAGTACCGAAGATAAATTAAATATTAGGGGGGGGGGGATGAATCGTGTCCTCACTAGCAGCTGGCATTTATTGCCATTTGATCGTTGGGAGACTTTGGAATGGTTACATATTCCGTGTAATTTGCAAGTAAATACTTCTGACCATGTTAGAACCCAATGAGACTACAAGCCTATTTTTATAAAGTAGATGTAGATTTTGGGCTTGAAATATGTTTTTTAATCCGGAAAAAAACAAAAGGCAGATCTGAAACACGGTAGGACCAATACCTCGGCCGTGGCTGATCATTGTTTTAACGCTGTGGGCACACATGAAATATATTTTTCCAAGACGAAGGTACTCTGCAAACCCACTGGCTATCAACAAAGATTAGTTCATGAAGCCATCCAGATTTATAAACAGACACAATTACAACCGAGAAGATGGGTACAAACTGAGCAATCGTTGGAAGGACGTTATTAAACAGTTTAAGTCATAACTGGCTGTGATGTTTCGATCCTACCTGCCCATGTTAGCAGTTATTTCCGACTCTCTGAGTTACATTACCTTGTTAAATGTCTTTACATTAACAGGCTAAATGTCTCACTAATACAGCCACCGTTGCGGTGGTTCTCTTACATCGACATGCTAATCAGCCACAATACAATGGCAGCCTCCACAGCTTTGTTTTCCTCAATTTGGCGGTGGCGCCCGGTGTTCTAATATTGATATGCTAATCTTGCATTAACAGGCTAAAATGTCTCCTTACACAGCCACCGTTGTGGTGGTTTTCTTACATTGACATGCTAATCTCTCTCAATACAATGGCCACCTCCACAGCTTCGGTGGTACCTGGTTTTCTTATATTGACATGCTAATCTCCTCTTTTTCACCTGATGACGATTGCTTGTGTTGCGATTGAAACGTCGTGATATTTTTCTTTTTTTTGTAATTTTTCTATCTACGTGGCTTTACCGAAAGACCTAAAGAATGACTTTACACTTGCCAATAAAACCACCTGATAACAGTGAACCACGGCAAACTGAAAATTCAGTGATGGCATTGAAGTAATTTACCTGAAAAAATTTTCTGGCTAATCTTGGCATAGACGTGTACTTCGATGTTCTTTCCATACGCGAGGGATATAGATATGCAGTCTGTTAACATTTCGTGCACTACAGCCTTCACAGCAGAGGGGGGCAGTGTTTGGGCAAGTGCTGTTAGCTATTCTAGATTTAAAGCTTTCGTGACTGCAAGGATCCATACTCTTTGGTTCTATTCGGTAAAGTCACGTAGGTAAAAAATAAAACAACAAAAATCACGACGTTTCGGCCACAACACAAGCGGCCTTCATCAGGTGAAGGGATCATGCTGTCTCGAGGACATCGCTGGAGTGAAACACAGCCACGCTCAGACCGCGACCTATAAGCTGTGTGCGAGGAAACAAGGTGCCTTGACAAAGGAATTAGCATAAAAATTAGCATTTGATTGGCCGACTTAGCATAGAGGTGGTGTACATGCGGATGCACATGCCGGTTGGCGCGGGGGGGGGAGGGAGAGTTTACCTATTGATGGTGTGAAAAGGGAATTTAAGAGCTGCGAAAGTTTGGGGAATGGTACAGTATATTTTTCAAGTAGTGGTACCCCAAACTTTCGCAGCTCTTAAATTCCCTTTTTACACCATCAATAGGTAAACTCTCCCCCCCCCCCCCGCGCTAACCGGCATGTGCACCCGCATGTACACCACCTCTATGCTAATTCGGCCAATCAAATGCTAATTTTTATGCTAATTCCTTTGTCAAGGCACCTTGTTTCCTCGCACACAGCTTATAGATCGCGGTCTGAGCATGGCTGTGTTTCACTCCAGCGCTGTCCTCGACAGCCTGATCCCTTCACCTGATGAAGGCCGCTTGTGTTGTGGCCGAAACGTTGTGATTTTTGTTGTTTTATTTTTTACCTACGTGACTTTACCGAATAGAACCAAAGAGTAAGTGCTGTTAGTGCCTAATGAAGGCTGATATGGCACACGGGTGGGTGGCCAGCACTACACCCGGCCGCCTTTGTCTTGCTTGTGATGATGTTTACACACTGAATCAGGTACTCATTTAAGGCTGAGTCGATCTAGAAAGGCCCAGGATCTGTTCAGATAATTGTAACTGTTACCAATGAGCGGGAATCGAACTCTGGTCTCCGGGTTCTCAGCGCCGCGCTCAAAACTTTACACTCCCCACACCCCATCCATTTCAATGCCACCACGAGGCACCCTCCCGCAACCACCAGAAACACGTGGTTCACGGAGCACAACACAGCTGGTTAACATCTGCGGGCCACTGCACCCCCTGCTGCCATGAAACGAATGTCTTGTTCGTTTTTGCAAACAAATGGGTCTAACTTCAAATTGCTCGTTACATTGATTTCTTGTAGAAAGAATACTCTTTAAGCGTGGCGCCTGTAATTTGATTTATTTTTTTCTATCAAATTCCTGGAGCTTGTCATAGATATATTTTCATTGCGAGATGAGAAAAATGTGTATTGGAACACAGAAGCAATTGAAACTGATACGCATCTCCATTGTGAATCCCCATTATTCAATGGTTTCGTATTTTGTCGGTGACCAATCCTGGGTCACACAATGCAACAGTGCCATGAACAAACTTATTGGCTTCATCTGAAAAAATAGCGACACCCAGTGGCCACTGCTTCTCATTACTCTTGTCTCAACATTATTACTCTGCTTGTTTACCCAACATTAGTGGTGAGGGATATGTTAACCAGTCCTTGCCCCTTCATTTAACTCACATTGACTGTAGTGCAGTATGGTCAAATAATATCCATGGCCTAGAGATGTTTGTTAACATAATGGCTGAATAATATTTTTTAAAAACTTGCATACATCTTCCGTCCAAACTGTCTCTCACAAACTTTGAATTGACTAGATAGCACTTACTGCATTCAGTGATTTAAAAAACCTTGGGTTGTTCTTTTATGCTGCTCCCCTTCCTCTCTCTCATTCCTCCTCCTTGGTTTCTTGCACCAGCTCCTCACTCTCCCTGAGGCTCAGCTGCTGCTGCCCGGGGAGGACAGCCTCATCCGGGAGGTGTTTGAGTACTGGCTGAAGAAGAGGAGGAAGAGCTCCGCCGACTCTCTCATCCCGACCATAAAACAGGAGCGGCGCGATGGTGGATCCTCCTCAAACAACCCCTACATCGCCTTCCGCCGACGCACAGAGAAGATGCAAACGAGAAAGGTGAGCACTCGGGCGACCACCACACACACGCGAATATAAATGCACAACAACCGCTGTTCACTAAGTGACGGTGATATCACCACGGCCTTTTTGCCAGGCTAAGTGTGCCTTGAGGCCCCATGAAGTGTTGGAAGGGCTTGTTGGCAGGAGATTTCTGAACAGATCCAGGTGCCATATGTTTACTGACAGATGACTGGCAGATGCACCACGTGTGCCCCTACTGTGCAAACTTGCTACGTTTTAGCTGCCTAGCATTCCACTCGTTGCGAGCATCGCTCCTTTGCCGTCCGCTGTTCTCGGAAAGTTCCTGCCTCCAACTGCCCAGTAGCGTCCTTCATGAGCCCCTTAATCAGCTACACTTCCTTCTGTACTCCATCAGTCCATCTCTTCTCCAGTCTGTGTCATGCCCAATTAGCCCCCTCTATCCAGCCAAACAGAAGCTGCTTGGGCATACAGTGGCTGGGCATGCGGGCTACATGAGCCAGCCAACGCAGCCTTGCCTGCTGGAGGAGCTCTTTAATGGGAATGTGTCCAGACCTTTCAAGTATTTGTGAGCTCCTCACACAATCCAGCCTGGTTGAACCCAGGATTGATCGTAGACATGCCAGCCTGAATGTTTCTAACCGACACAGGTGTTTCATGAGAGGGGTCCACGTTTCACAAGCATAGAGAAGGGAGGGCTTTGCTGTGGCCGAGAAGACCTGAAGTGGTGTGGAGTAACAGACCATACTCTTTGGTTCTATTCGGTAAAGTCACGTAGGTAAAAAAATAAAGTAAAACAATAAAAATAAAATCACGACGTTTCGGCCACAACACAAGTGGCCTTCATCAAGTGAAGGGACCGGACTGTCCAGAAGACAGCGTTGGAGTGAAATCAGCCAAGCCCAGGCCGCGTCCTTTAAGTTGTGTGGGAGGAAACAAAGGCACCTTGACAAAGGAATTAGTATAAAAAAGAGTGTGATGTACGTAGGAGGTACATGATGGACCATGATGGACCAGGTGCAGGGGGGACCATGATGGACCAGGCGCGGGGGGAGGAGAGTTTACATAATGTTGGTGTGCAGGGAAATAAGCAGCTGTGAAAGTTTGGGATATCACTACTTGAAAAAATATACTGTACCATTGAAAATGAGTTTAATGTTTGGTTTGATTTAGAACATCTTACCAATGATTGTTTAATTTGAAACCATCCTCTCGGTTGAAATTGTGTCTGTGTTTGTAAATCTGAATTGCCTCGTGGACAAATCTCTGATAATAACCCGTGGGTTTACAGAAAACCTTGGTATTGGAGAAAATTATATCGTGATCACCCACAGCGTTGTAACAGTGATCAGCTACGGCAGAAGAATTCGTTCTGCCGTGTTTCAAATCTGATTTGTGCTCGCGAATTCGGGCAGAGACATGTCGTTTCGTCTCCCCGATATAGCAATCACCACAGGTCCAGCTCAATTTGTAAACCCCGGGGTACTGTAAGGCAGGAATGACATCCTTCACGGATGGGATCAGGTCACGGATTTTGTGTACTGTATTGAACCGGACCAGGATCTTGTGTTTGTTTATAGTTTTGGAGATCTTTTTAGTAACGCCTGCTATATATGGTAGTGTGATGGTTTTGATTGGAGTGTCAAGTGGTTGTTTCTGTGTGGAGATAGAAACAGCTTGGCGGATGGTACGGTCAGAGTATCCGTTCCTCTTGAGGGCCAGATGTACATGTTTTTATTCACTGGTCAGGTGGTGTTGATCCGAAATGCAATGAGCCCTGTGGTATAACGTTTTGATGAGAGAATTCTTTTGGGTTGGGTGGTGGTGGGAATCAGGTTTCAAGTAGGAATCTGTGTGAGTGGGTTTCCTGTAGACAGTGTCCCAATGAGCCATCAGGTCTCCACGCAAACTACATTTTTTTACCTACGTGACTTTACCGAATAGAACCAAAGAGTATGGATCCTTGCAGTCACGAAAACTTCAAATCTAGAAGTAACAGACAAGTTAGCTTCCACACAGCATTATGCAGCCGATGAAAAGATGCTGCCCAACTGATTCGGAGTGAAACCTCTGCCTTCAAACTGGAGCTGGTCATAAGCACACTGTCCAGGTTTGGCAAACCCTCCACTGTCTCAAACTGCTCAATCACCAATGGAGAGTTGAGGGGGTGGAGTGTTGGATGGCACAAAATACCCAGGCAGGTGCTTAATTTTGGTGGGGCTTATGGTAAGACCCCACCTCTTAGTGGCACACTCCAGGTTCACCATCAGTGCCTCAATCTCCTCTAAGTGAGCAACAATAACCAGATCATCAGCATACGTAACATTGTTGACGAATAGAGAGCCATCCCTCGACCGCACCCGGGTATCGTTCAGCCTCCCGTTGTATCTGTACCAGATGGAAATTCCTCTGGTACAGCCATGGAAAGCTTCTCAGACTACTTGGGCAAAGATGATGTTAAATAATGTGGGAGCCAGAGAACATTCCTGTCGCACCCCAAGGTGAGCAGGGAATGGCTCCGACTCCTGGTCACGTACCTTTACCCAGGCCTGCCCACCATCATGAAGGCCCTTAATATTTGTGAGCAGAGTCAGGGAATCCAAAAGCATGCACAAAGAACAGGCCAGAGCCTTGAGCTGTTGATGTCTTCATAAGCCTTGACCAGGTGCGCACACGCATACAGACATGTACTCGTTACCATACACACACAGACCAAGCTCGATAAAGTTGTTTGTTTTGTATGACCGGTAATTGCATGGTACATAAACGTTAACCAGTTTGCTACACACAGAAGTGCCTAGCAGTAATGTGTTTTAAACTTTTAGCTGCTGTGGTGTAATGTTGAGTGTTGGAATTGCAATCAACTCATGGTGGGTGGCTACGTTCTCTGTCCGACTGGTAGGCTGCCACCTAAATCGGTGGGGTTGGCGAGCGTGCGGTTGAGCGATCTCTGTGCGGGGTTGTGTTTTCCCCCCGCAGAACCGTAAGAATGACGAGGCATCATATGAGAAGATGCTAAAGCTGCGGCGAGACCTGAGCCGTGCCATCACCATCCTGGAGATGATCCGGCGACGCGAGCGCAATAAGCGCGAGCTGCTCCATCTTACCCTGGATATCGTTGACAAGAGGTGGGCCCACGTCGTAAGCTTCTCGCCGTGGAGTTTATCTCACTAGCGCACCTTGCAGTGGAGCAGGCTGCTTGTCAGTTTTCCCATGCATGGTTTAATTAATTTCAGCCGGAAAATAGATTTGTGCCCAGCACACTACGTCCAGTAATACCCTCTGATTGCTATGGCTGTGGCTACTCATGTGCCTACTCCACTCTACAAGTGTTAGAAATGAGGCCCCTAAGTAAAACTGTGATTGAAATTATATATAGTAAGGTGTGCAAGCAGGATAATTTTATCAAAAACTAGCAGGAAGTACCTGGCTTTGCCTGGGGGAAAATATATATTTCAAAACTTGTCTTCTCTTAAATACATAACATATACATACACAAATACTAAGCTATTGTGAAAGCCCGGCATTCCGTTTGTCCATTTGTCCGTCAGCAAAATTATAAGAGGCTTGCAGTAGTCCTGAATAAAAAAGTAATAGAAAGTGGGGGGTAAATAGTTGATCTAAAAGTTTTCCAAAAATTGTTGACCCCCCCCCCCTCCAAAAATCTTTTACCCCTTCCAGCTATTTTTTATTTTGTAGGCATATATATCTACACACCCTACATACAATAGTCAATAGTATCTATTGACTCTACAGTAGTTAGCTACAGAATCTACAGTAGTATCTACAGACTCTACAGCAGTATTCACTGACTCTATAGCAGTATTCACTGACTCTACAGTCATAACTACTGACTCTACAGTCGTAACTACTGACGCTACAGTCGTAACTACTATTTAAAGCTTTCGTGACTGCAATGATTCATCTTCTTTGGTTCTTTCGGTAAAGTCACGTAGAATGAGAATAAAATAATAAATTGATAAAATAAAATAACACAATAATATTCTCACGACGTTTCGGCCACAACACAAGCGGCCTTCATCAGGTGAAGGGACGAGACTGTCTGGTAGGACAGCGCTGGAGTGAAAGAGCCACGTTCAGATCACGGCCTTTAAGCTGTGTGAGAGGAACAAAGCGCCTTGACAAAGGAATTAGCATATAATTTAGCATTGAAATGGCTGAATGATTAGCTTGTGACTGGTCACAGAAATAGTTATGTTAAAAGTTAAAGCATACACATCCGCAGAGGCACCCCTTGACAATGGAATTAGCATAGAATTTAGCATTGAAATAGCTAAGTTAAAGCATACACATCCGCAGAGGCACCCCTTGACAATGGAATTAGCATAGAATTTAGCATTTAAATAGCTGAGTGATTAGCTTGTAACTGCTCACAGAAATAGCTACGTTAAAGTCAGACCATACACATTCACCGAGGCACTTAGTACAAATCAAACAGGAGAATTTAGCATTGAAATAACTAGGCGAATTTAGCATTGAAATAACTGAGTGATTAGCTAGTGACTGGTCACAGAAATGACTATGTTGAAGTCAAGGCCTACACATCTGAGCTATTCACAGTACTATATAGTGAACCAATAAAAACTAAAATATAAATTACCTTAATGTTATCAATAAACTCTATATTCTCCAATCAGCTAAGCTACCAACAATAGGTCGTTATATATCACAATACCATATGGCGAAAAAATGGGTGGATTCTTACCCTCAACTTTAGCACCACGGATAGCTACGGGCCCCGTTCAAACGGACGAGTTCGTCCATGGTCGGAACAGAGGAGGGGGAGAGAGACAGCTGCGAGGCCCTAGTATACTCCATGTTGTAAAACCATACCATTAACCGTGGTGTGAGAGGTATTAAGAGGCAATGCTGGCGAAAGAGCTGCGGTCTGAAGGTCATCGTAAAAATACAATTAATTAAGAACAGAAATGATTTAAAACATCTTTCCAGTGGTTACTAAGCCAGAATCCATCTTCTCGGTTGAAATTGTCTCTGTGCTTGTATATGTGAATGGCCTCATGAACGAATCTCTCATGATTTAGTTCCATCTGTAAAAGATGCTGTTCCAGACATACAGTACCCGGGCGTTTACAAACTAAAGTGCCTCTGTGGTAGTAGCTACATTGGAGAAACCAAACGACATATCTCGGACCGCATCCGCGAACATAAAGCAGACTTGAAACACGGTAGAACGAACTCCTCTGCCGTGGCAGATCACTGTTATAATTCAGTGGGCTCACATGACATTGACTTCTCCAAGACGTAGGTTCTTTGCAAACCAACCGGCTACCATGAGAGATTCGTTCATGAGGCCATTCACATATACAAGCACAGAGACAATTTCAACTGAGAAGATGGATTCTGGCTTAGTAACCATTGGAAAGATGTTTTAAACCATTTCCGTTCTTAATTAATTGTATTTTACGATGACCTTCAGACCGCAGCTCTTTCGCTGGCATTGACTGTTAATGCCTCTCACACCACGGTTAATGGTATGGTTTACAACATGGAGCATAACAGCGCCTCGCAGCTGTCTCTCTCCCCCTCCTCTGTTCCGACCATGGATGAACTCGTCCGTCTGAACGGGGCCCGTAGCTATCCGTGTTGCTAAAGTTGAGGGTAAGAATCCACCCATTTTTTTCGCCATATAGCATTGCGATATATAACGACTTATTGTTGGTAGCTTAGCTGATTGGAGAATATATAGAGTTTATTGATAACATTGAGGTAATTTATATTTTAGTTTTTTATTGGTTCACTATATAGTATTCATTATATATTGTAGTGTATACCCAGTTACTGTGAATAGCTCAGATGTGTAGGCCTTGACTTCAACATTGTCATTTCTGTGACCAGTCACAAGCTAATCACTCAGTTATTTCAATGCTAAATACGCCTAGTTATTTCAATGCTAAATTCTCCTGTTTGATTTGTACTAGGTGCCTCTGTGAATGTGTATGCTCTGACTTTAACATAGCTATATCTGTGACCAGTTACAAGCTAATCACTCAGCTATTTCAATGCTAAATTCTATGCTAATTCCTTTGTCAAGGGGTGCCTCTGCGGATGTGTATGCTTTAACTTAGCTATTTCAATGCTAAATTCTATGCTAATTCCTTTGTCAAGGGGTGCCTCTGCGGATGTGTGTGCTTTAACTTTAACATAACTATTTCTCTGACCAGTCACAAGCTAATCATTCAGCCATTTCAATGCTAAATTATATGCTAATTCCTTTGTCAAGGCGCTTTGTTCCTCTCACACAGCTTAAAGGCCGTGATCTGAACGTGGCTCTTTCACTCCAGCGCTGTCCTACCAGACAGTCTCATCTCTTCACCTGATGAAGGCCGCTTGTGTTGTGGCCGAAACGTCGTGAGAATAATATTGTGTTATTTTATTTTATCAATTTATTATTTTATTCTCATTCTACGTGACTTTACCGAAAGAACCAAAGAAGATGAGTCGTAACTACTGTTTCTACAGTAGTATCTATTGGTTCTACAGTATTATCTACAGACTTTGCAGTAGTATCTACTTACTCTACTGTAGTATCTACCGACTCTACAGTAGTATCTACCGACTCTACAGTAGTATCTATCGAGTCTACAATAGTATTCTACCTAGTCTACAATAGTATCTACTGACTATAGTAGTATCTAGGGATTGTATAGTAGTATCTATCGACTCTTTAGTAGTAACTGCACACATTGGGGTGGGGGTGAGGAGGACATCACACTGTTCAGGATCTACCTCAAATCTAGCCAACACAATCCCATTTTGGTTGGTAAATCAAGAAGACCGCGGCACAAAAATATCAAATTTAAGTGTAAGAACTCATCAAATGATGTAGTTTTTGTCATTGGCGACTGCACTGAGACCATCAAATCGCAATTTAGGGATTTCGGCGGTACTGGCTCGGTATCTTTGACCTGCGAGCCACTTAGCCACATTGAAGACCTGGGATGTAATTCACAATCACAACACCTTGCTATTTCACGGTGTTTCCATCGTCAGGCTGCACACAAACGCACGAATGTGCGGCATATGCATGACGGCGATGTCCGTGATGCAGGAACACGGCCGGCGATTACGACGGCGCCATTCTGGGCGAACTGCTGGCCCAGACGCCAGCAGCCAAACCCGTGTACACTGGGCCTGTGATGCTCTACAACGGCAGCCAGTACCGGCACACTGAGCTCCTCAACAACCGGGTGAGTGCCTCCCCTCACACACTCCACCCCCATCCCACCGCCCATTCATGTAGGTGACTCGCCAGTCACACTGGCCAGATACACATGCACATGGGTATATGGACATGGGGAGTTGAATGCTGAAAGAAAACATTTGTGGATATATCCATGAAGCGTTTATAACCAGGTAAGCACTCGAGACCAGATTAGCATGAGTTGCAAACCTGACCTGCGTTATCAATATGAGAAAACAAAAATATAATTAAATACATTAATTAAGTAAATAGATCATGGGTCCTCCTTTGCCAGTATCAAAATATAAGAATAGGTTTTCCCATTTTTTCTGGCAACAAAACAGGTGTTAAGATGTTTAAACACCAAATCTAAACCTTTTGCAAGGAATCATGTCTACATTAACCACATGTACAATGCATATACTGTCAGAGCATTTTTTTTGTATTTTACCACAAATATGTGGTTAATGCAGTCATGATTCCTTGCTAAAGGTTTCAGTTAGGTGATTCAACATCTTAACACCTATATTCTTGGTTCTTTCGGTAAAGTCACGTAAATAGAAAACAAAAAATCAAAAATAAAAACAAAAAACCCACGACATTTTGATCGTAACACAAGCGGTCTTCATCACCTTTTATTTTTGCATTTTTGTTTTCTATTTACGTGACTTTTCCAAATTAACCAAGAATATAAATTCCTGCAGTCACGAAAGTTTAAAGTCTAAATCTTAACACCTGTTTTGTTGCCAGAAAAAAGGGGAAAACCTATTATATTTTGATACTGGCAAAGGAGGTCCCATGATGTAGCTGCTCAACCCGAGCTCTCATTGTCCTGATAGTGCATTGTTTTTGTGCTGTTCGCCTTTTGGCGTCCTCTGGTCTAACACTGTTTGAGACTAGGCTCTAACGAAAGCTGTCTCTGGTGTGGACCAATCAGTTTCAAGGACAATGCATATACTGTCAGAGGATGTTTTTGTTGTATTTTCACCACTAGTACAGTGAGGGAAAACAGTATTTGATCCCCTGCTGATTTTGACAAAGAAATGATCAGTCTATAATTTTATTGGTAGGTTTATTTGAACAGTGAGAGATAGAATAACAACAAAAAAATCCAGAAAAACGCATGTCAAAAATGTTATAAAGTAATTTGCATTTTAATGAGGGAAATAAGTATTTGACCCCCTCTCAATCAGAAAGATTTCTGGCTCCCAGGTGTGTTTTATACAGGTAATGAGCTGAGATTAGGAGCACACTCTTAAAGGGAGTGCTCCTAATCTCAGCTTGTTACATGTGTAGTGGGCTCCAGGACACGGAGACGGCAGAATAGAAGCAGCACTATTTATTTAAACCTTAACAAGGGTTACACTAGAAGGGGTAGCGGCCCCTCCACCCGTATAACTCAGGAACACACCCCAGGCTCTCTAGCCTAAGCTCTAGGCTCCCAGTTCCTCCGGGTAGGGCTCTAAGGGAGGCTATCAGATCCGGCCCTGGTTAGGCACAGATCTCGGCACCCCGCCGACCAGACCGGCCCTTAGAAGGACTCTGACTCTGGGGCTCTGGGGCCGCACCACTGGCTTGCTGTGCCGGCCCTGAAAAGGGCAGCGGTCACAGGAGTTCCAGGGTCTCACCTAGCTGGCCTTCTTTCTTCACTGGTTGCTTCAGCCTCGGGCCCCACACTCTGCCCCGAGCTCCCTGGCTCCCCGCACTTTATACCCACTGGAGCCTTAGCGGACGTTGTTGTAGCCACCAAGGTGTGGGTGAACCACACCTTCCCGTGTCATGTGTTTATTCCCCATAGCACCCCTACATCACCCCCTCCCGTGTAACCCGCAGCCGTCCCGGCTGCAACAATACTCGAACAATAAACACAACAAACCCCCACCCGTGCGTGCCTCATAAGAACGAACACCCCAATAAATAACCCAACCCACCTATACAAAATTACACTATATACACATATACATTGTACCCGCCCCCCCCATCAACGCAGCAAGAAAACTTAACAGTGAACAACAAGAGTAACAAGAACCATTTTTACAACAAGCGGCGCATTTTGGCGCGAGTCCGATTTGCGGGTCCATCGTAGGGGGAGGGTCCGGTCGGCCCGGCAGTGGGCACCGGCTGTGCAGGTGCACCGTCTTCCGTCACCCCGGAAGGGCAAACTCCGTCCCCACCGGGTGGCGCAGGCGCGCTGGAAGCCGTCATTCTTGAGGCGCCTGAAGGTGGAACAGTTAGCGAAGCATCAAGGGCAGGTGACGAAGACGCCGTCCGGGAGTCAGCGGAGACATCACATGCTCGGCCTGTGTAATGTGGTGGAGGGACGCGCGGCGCCACAAACGGCTTCAGACGCGAGGGGTGTACGTACCAGCGGCGTTTCCCCCACTGGATACGAACGCACTGCGGCCGCATAACCTTCACAATAACCACAGGGCCCCTCCAAGGCCGCAACAATTTCGCCGAGGTTGCCAACGGCACCTGAGGGCAGTGCAGCCAGGCTTGATCGCCTGGCTTCCACGCATGTGTGCGTGATTGGCGCGATCGCAACCTCTCGTTGGCCTTCTGCCGAGAGGAAGAGTTTTGGGCCGCTGCCTCCCGCGCCTCGGTCAACCTCAGGATATTAAATTTAACGTGGTCGGCCAATTTCGATTTTCTGCTGGTTTCCGAGACGCGGAGCTGATTCGCAATTGGTGGGTCAACGTCGCGACCGTACATCAAAAAGAACGGCGAGAAGCCGGTTGCCGCGTGAGGAGCCATTCTATAGGCGGCCAAAACCCCCGGAATGTGAAGGTCCCAATCGGTCTGGGAGTCACACACCTGGTGACACAACATAGATGTGAGCGTCCTATGCAGCCGCTCCACCATGCCATCGGTTTGTGGGTGATAGGGGGATGTGCGAATCTTTTTCGTACCAAGAAGCGCACACACCTCGTGCAGAAGGACGCCAGAGAAGTTCTTCCCTTGGTCAGTCAGCAGCCGTTCGGGAGCACCCTTGTCGAGGACATAGCCCTGGACAAAGGCCTCGGCAACGGCTGCTGCTGACTGGTTAGCAAGAGGCCATGCCATAGGCCATCGGGTGAAATATTCCACGCCAACCAGCAGGTACTTGTTACCCCTAGGGGTCGCAGGGAAGGGCCCCAATATATCGAGTGCGACGAGTTCGTTAACCCGAGAGACCGTGATAGATTGTAGCGGTGGGCAGGCGCCTTTCGCTGGTGGTTTTCGTTGGGCGCACTGAGTGCATGCACCCAGGAGGTCATCCACATCCCTTGCCATACCCGGCCAGAAGAAATCCAGCTGGAGCACGGCAAGGGTCTTGTGGGTCCCCAGGTGCAAAAGCCGCTCGTGTGCGGCCCAAACGGCCTTACCCCGCAAAGCGGATGGCACCACAAGCCTGTGACGGCAGGCCCTCCCATCCCAATGCATTAGGAGCCCCTGGAGCAGCCCGTATGAATCAATCCCCGCGACCCCCCGCACGGAACCCCCTGCGCGACGACGCAACGCGAGGAGGGATGCGTCCTCCATCTGGAGGCGCCCCCATTCAGCAACGGACAACCCCAGCAAGGAGTCCGCACCTCCCTCCCCGACAGGACCCTCAGGCAAGGGGTCCTCAGTGGCAGCAGCGAGAACCGGGATATCTAAGGGGGGGCTATCCTCTGGCGGCTTACAACGCCCCGATCCCCTGAGACAAGCGCAATCTGAGGCGGGCGGCAGGCGAGACAGCGCATCCGCATTAGTGTGCCGAGCACCCTTCCGATATGTGGTCGTGAAATCATAATCCTGAAGGATTTCGAGCCATCGGGACAATTGCCCCGAAGGCTGTGTCACCCGCAAGGCATATTGTAATGCCGCATGGTCCGTACGGACAGTGAAATGCCGACCGTACAGGTATGGGCGATACTGTTGCATAAAAAATACAATAGCCAAGAGTTCCCGACGCGTGACGCAGTATCTCTGTTCCGCCGGAGACAAAACCCTACTGCCATAAGCCACGACGCGTTCCACACCACAGATCACCTGTGAGAGCACACCCCCAATGCCCGTATTGCTGGCGTCTGTATCGAGCAGGAAGGGTTCCGAAAAATCGGGGTAGCTCAATGGAGGGGCCCGCACGAGAGCGTCGCGAAGGGAACAAAAAGCGACCTCCTCCTCCTGGCCCCAGTGAAATTTCACTCCCTTCGCCGTCAGAGCGTGTAAGGGCTTAGCAATGGTCGCGAAATCCGCGACGAACCGCCGGTAATAAGACGCAAATCCAATGAAACTCCTGACCTCAGCCACCGAGGTGGGGGTTGGCCAGGAGTTGACACACTGCGTCTTTGCGGGATCGGTGGATATGCCCGAGCGGCTGACGATGTGCCCCAAATAGCGTACGGATTCCCGTAGCAGGTGGCACTTTTGCGGCTTAAATTTCAAATTCGCAGCACGCATTTTGAGGAACACGGCGCGCAAGCGCAAAAGGTGTTCGTCAAATGTCTTGCTGAACACGATGACGTCATCCAGATAGATCAAACAGACGTTCCACTGTAAGCCAGCCAAAACCAGTTCCATAAGGCGCTGAAATGTCGCCGGAGCGGAGTGTAATCCCATAGGTAACCGGTTAAATTGGAATAGGCCGTGTGGTGTGCGAAACGCAGTCTTTGGCTTGGACTCATCATCCAATGGGAGTTGCCAAAATCCGGATAACAAGTCCAACGTAGAAAAAAAAACGTGCGCCAGCCAGAGCATCCAGAGATTCGTCCATCCGGGGAAGTGGATACGCGTCGGCCACGGAGATCTTATTAAGGCGGCGAAAATCCACACAGAATCGCAAGGACCCATCGTGCTTTTTGACAAGCACTATGGGTGCTCCCCATGGACTGGTGGAAGGGGCTATAATGTCTGCAGCCAGCATGTCATCCACTGCCAATTTGACATGATCTTTTTCGGCCGGACTTAACCGAAAGGGATTCTGGCGTACCGGGGCATTGTCACCCGTGTCAATGTGGTGACGCAACAATTTCGTGCACCCAATGTCATATTTGTGTTTACTAAAAACATCGGAAAATTCCGTCAGAAGGGTGCGTAGGCCGGCACGCTGGGAGTCGGACAGATCACTCGTGCCCGAACATAGTGTGTCCATCCAACTATCGTCCCCCTCAGAATGCGGTTGAGCCAGAGGATCGGTCCCCACATTACCCATAACCGTGTCTACCACGGGGACCGGTGTCGCGTGCGCGAGCACAGTTCCCTGAGGAACGACGGCCGTCTGTACGCCAACGTTAAGGACGAGGATAAACGGGTCATCGCTCCCCTTAACGAGCGTTTGAGCGGCCACCAGATCCAGCCCGTTTTCCCCAGCCCTCGAGGGCCCTAACAGAATTCCCTGGTCCAGAACACCGGGCACGAAAGGCCGACGCAAGCGAAGGGGCACGAGCATTTGCGCCCCGGGAGGTACACGCACCGTCCGAGTGACGAACGCTTGTATCGACGCGCACGCTGCCCTTGAGGTGACAGGGGAAGGCAGGAATGTTACCCGTCGGCCCGAGGGAAGCTCGATGCAACCCTGATCAATTAGAATTTTAATCGGCATTTTGCCCAAAAAGTCCGTCCCCAACAAGCACGGAACCGCCAGCGAGGACGAGACTAATATCGGCCCGGAGAGTTTGATATCGCCAATGCAAATTTGTGCTCGAATTTGGCCTATGATACCCAGCGAACCCCCGTTCGCTGCGTAACACGGAACGGTGACTGGGAGCAAGGGGCGGCTTTGAACGGGAAGAATATTATAAATCAAGTCTGACACAATGGTCGCCGAAGCTCCCGTATCGACGAGGATACGCACCTCGACCCCGTCAATGCGACCCGCGACCACGGACGAGCCTGCCGACGCAGCAACAATGCGGTGGGCCAATTCCGTCCACTGCCCCGGCCCGAGCACCCTCTCGACCCCGCCGCCACCCAACAACCCAATGGGCGTACCCCGAGGCCCGTACACCGAAACGCGCGAGGTGGGGACAGGTGTGTGCACAGGCCGAGCATGTGGGGTGCCGCGACTTGCCGGGTTGCGATGCGGAGGCCTGTAGGCTGGAGCGCCGTCCGACCGTCCCGGCTGTCGTTGACGAGGCGCCCGGCATTCCGCAGCCACGTGGCCCTTGCGGCCACAGTTGTAGCACGTGATGAGCGCCTTGGGGTGCTCCTGGCGATCCGGTGTGGTCCGAGCCGGCCTCCCTCCGGATCTCCACTCCACCGGGCGACCCGCCGCGAAGACCTCCTCGGAGGGGGGGATGGTCGGCGTCCCAGCGCACACCGCAGCTGCGCCCTTGGGGACGAGAGGTGATCGACGCTGCGCTATCAGGTGCGCGTGGATGTGTCTTGCTGCCCGCAAGGAGCACATGTCCGCGTCGTCCTCTGCGACGATGACGATCTGTAGCTCCTGGGCCAACGCCAGGAGCTTCTCCGTCACCATCGCGTCCACCCCCTTCGCCGTCCATCCGCGGGAAAGCCGCTTTTGCGAGGGCCAGGAGAGCCGTGCGATACGCCAGCGGTGGCTCCTTCTGGCCCCTGCACCGCTCGTGGAAGAGTTTGCGGCAGTCCGACGATGGCCCGTAGACTATGGTGAGGACCTGGAGCGCCGACTGTAGCGTAGACCGCGTTGATCTGGGAGCTGTGATGAGCGTAGCAAGGGCGTCATCGTCCAGCATGGCCGGTAGCGCACTCAACGCCTCGTTGTCCGTCCAGCCGGCCATCTCTTGATGAGCGAGAAAGCGGCGTTGAAAGGCCCCCCAGTCGCCGCCGTCTGAAACGAACTCCTTCAACACCGGCAGGCGTTGTTGAAACGATGGCTTCGTCTCTGAGAGGTGCCGCGCGCCATTTCCGGCCTCTCCACCGGTGTCTGTGGGGCTGGGGACACCCATCGGCGGTCGCGCAGGTGATGACGATGCGCCCGCCGATTGGTCCTGACAGCGGGCGTCCGTTGGTGATGACGTCACCACCGCTGATTGGCCCACAGCGTCCACGTGGCGCTGCGACCCTCCAATCGCCGTGGCGGACACTGTCATGGCGGCAAATCCGAAATCTGGTGGCTGTGTTTCGGCGGGAATGGCCGTTGAACGGCGTTCGTCTCTCTGCCGCCTTTGCGCCCGCAGCCCCGCGCGGTTGATTTCCTCCAGCGTGGAAGCCGCGGCATACAGCAGCTCAGCCAGTCGAGAGTGAGCCGCCTGCAACCCGTCCTCCATCGGCGGCCACTCCTCCAGCGGCGGCTGCTGTTGGGACGTCTGGGACATCCCAGGATCGTCGGCCGCGGCCTCTGGCGCAATCCCAGGCGAGCCGTCCTCCTCCTGGGGTTCCTGTGATCGGTTTGTACTCCTTGTGTCCATTTTAAGACCACTCCTGACACCAGTTGTAGTGGGCTCCAGGACACGGAGACGGCAGAATAGAAGCAGCACTATTTATTTAAACCTTAACAAGGGTTACACTAGAAGGGGTAGCGGCCCCTCCACCCGTATAACTCAGGAACACACCCCAGGCTCTCTAGCCTAAGCTCTAGGCTCCCAGTTCCTCCGGGTAGGGCTCTAAGGGAGGCTATCAGATCCGGCCCTGGTTAGGCACAGATCTCGGCACCCCGCCGACCAGACCGGCCCTTAGAAGGACTCTGACTCTGGGGCTCTGGGGCCGCACCACTGGCTTGCTGTGCCGGCCCTGAAAAGGGCAGCGGTCACAGGAGTTCCAGGGTCTCACCTAGCTGGCCTTCTTTCTTCACTGGTTGCTTCAGCCTCGGGCCCCACACTCTGCCCCGAGCTCCCTGGCTCCCCGCACTTTATACCCACTGGAGCCTTAGCGGACGTTGTTGTAGCCACCAAGGTGTGGGTGAACCACACCTTCCCGTGTCATGTGTTTATTCCCCATAGCACCCCTACACATGTATAAAAGACACCTGTCTACAGAAGCAATCAATCAATCAGATTCCAAACTCTCCACCATGGCCAAGACCAAAGAGCTCTCCAAGGATGTCAGGGACAAGATTGTAGACCTACACAAGGCTGGAATGGGCTACAAGACCATTGCCAAGCAGCTTGGTGAGAAGGTGACAACAGTTGGTGCCATTATTCGCAAATGGAAGAAGCACAAAAGAACTGTCAATCTCCCCCGTCCTGGGGCTCCATGCAAGATCTCACCTCGTGGAGTTGCAATGATCATGAGAACGGTGAGGAATCAGCCCAGAACTACACGGGAGGATCTTGTCAATGATCTTAAGGCAGCTGGGACCATAGTCACCAAGAAAACAATTGGTAACACACTACGCCGTGAAGGACTGAAATCCTGCAGTGCCCGCAAGGTCCCCCTGCTCAAGAAAGCACATATACATGCCCGTCTGAAGTTTGCCAATGAACATCTGAATGATTCAGAGGACAACTGGGTGAAAGTGTTGTGGTCAGATGAGACCAAAATGGAGCTCTTTGGCATCAACTCAACTCGCCGTGTTTGGAGGAGGAGGAATGCTGCCTATGACCCCAAGAACACCATCCCCACCGTCAAACATGGAGGTGGAACCATTATGCTTTGGGGGTGTTTTTCTGCTAAGGAGACAGGTCAACTTCACCGCATCAAAGGGACGATGGACGGGGCCATGTACCGACAATTCTTGGGTGAGAACCTCCTTCCCTCAGCCAGGGCATTGAAAATGGGTCGTGGATGGGTATTCCAGCATGACAATGACCCAAAACACACGGCCAAGGCAACAAAGGAGTGGCTCAAGAAGAAGCACATTAAGGTCCTGGAGTGGCCTAGTCAGTATCCAGACCTTATTCCCATAGAAAATATCTGGAGGGAGCTGAAGGTTCGAGTTGCCAAACGTCAGCCTCGAAAAACCTTAATGACTTGGAGAAGATCTGCAAAGAGGAGTGGGACAAAATCCCTCCTGAGATGTGCGCAAACCTGGTGGCCAACTACAAGAAACGTCTGACCTCTGTGATTGTCAGCAAGGGTTTTGCCACCAAGTACTACGTCATGTTTTGCAGAGGGGTCAAATACTTATTTCCCTCATTAAAATGCAAATCAATTTATAACATTTTTGACATGCTTTTTTCTGGATTTTTTTGTTGTTATTCTGTCTTGTCACTGTTCAAATAAAGCTACCATTAAAATTATAGACTGATCATTTCTTTGTCAGTGGGCAAATGTACAAAATCAAAGGGGATCAAATACTTTTTTCCCTCACTGTATATGTGGTTAATGCAGACATGATTCCTTGCAAAAGGTTTCAGTTTGGTGTTTTAACATCTTAACACCTGTTCAGTTGACAGAAATATGGGAAAACCTATTCTTATATTTTCATACTTGCAAAGGAGGTCCCATGATGTAGCTGCTCACCCCGAGCTCTCATTGTCCTAATAGTGCATTGTCTTTGTGCTGTTATTTCCACACAATGAGCCACTTGAGTGATTATTTGTGGCCAGGTCACTTATGAAAAAGAGCTATATAGCTCAGTGGGCCTTATATGGTGTTAAAAAAACACTGAAATGAGGAATACAAACATAAATGAACTCTGAATCAAGGTTAAATACTATATTTCTTGCAGTGTAAATCACCTAGAGCACATGACCTCCAGAACAGAGCAAGGGCAGAGGCCACAAATGCAGGCGACAACTGCCGCTGCCATTGAACCGCTGCTCCCCTGCGCATTGCGTGGACCCTTTAAGAGACGTAGTAGTCAACATCTGAGCCCCTATGATAGCACCCGATCCTTAGTTGCAGGGCAATGACTTTAATACCATTTTGTCACTAATGCACCTTCGAGCTTGGGTTGCACAAACTGGGACGCACTGCCTTCAGCGTTTACACAGGTAGCTTGTCTCTTTGAAACTCTGTTGTCCCCATTAATATATGCGTATGTGGGTTTGTGCCACAGCTGCACGCTGATCTGGTCGGGAAGAGGCCTCTTGCTGATGGGCCGCGGCCCAAGCGGAAGTACGAGAAAAGGAAATACAAGACGCTGAGCGTGGGTGGGGGGACATCCGTCGGTCCCCGCGGCTCCCCGCGAGGTCTTGGGACAGCCCCTCCTTCCTGCCCTGTGCGGGATGCAAACCAATATGACTTCCCCAGCTCAGAGGACGAGGCGCCACCCACGGTGAGTGAGGGGGTGAGTGAGCAAGCAAGAGAGTGGCGCGAAAGTGGGTGAGTCAGTGGATGAGTGGATTATGAATAGCATGATTGGCTACGTACAGTGCGAATGAAGTTCAACATACATTTACATACTGAGAGAGTGAAAGAGCTTGAGTGGGTGAGATCAAGACAGAAAAGAGTGTGTGGGTGAGAGTGTATGAGTAGGGGAGAGAGTGAGTGTCAGTGAGTGGATGGCCCCTGTCCTCCAGAGACTGACAACTGCTTTTAGGATCAAATAATCCATTTTCTTGCTAAGCAGCTGCTGGCTGCAGATCGAACAGCAAATGCAACAGCAGCCAGATGAAATACTCTGCATCCTCGCTCCAGTGTGGTTAATGGTCTTATGTCATTCACAGGTCGGTCGATAGCCAGTGTGAATGTCCAGTATTCATGTAATCCCTTTTTCGGGTGAGCGTCGCTAACGGCTAAATGTAAACGTCCTGTCCTGTGTCATGTGCTGACAGCCAGGATATGGGGGCCGTCCAGAATGCGTCTGCAAAATAGTTTCTTTTTTTCCCCCGTTCTAGGTGAGCGCTTCGGCCTCGGAGGGGGAGGAGGAGGAGATGGACCCTGACGCGGTGTTTGTGTTCCGCCGTGCATCTGGGTGCAGCTACCTTGCAGTGAGTGATGTTCAGAGACAAACACATTTGTCATTTCACGCGCACGATTTTGCCGACGCTCATAATCCAAGCTCAGACTTCCATGTTAGTTCGCGTGTAGAGAATTTATTTTCTCAAGCTCTCCCCATGTAATTTTGTGGGTATCTTATGTGGACCCGTCGTATCTAATTGCTAAATTTGGTTTTCAGAATAGTTTTTTTTATCCTACAGCAGTAAGCTGAAACGATAATTTGTGTGTTAAGTGCTTTGAAAGCATACAAACATGAACATTTAATTTGTTTGCCTGTGTCAAGTGGTGGAGTGTCCACCACTGGGTCATTATGTGGCTTAACCAAAAAATAGTGACGCATCAAAATATTGGTTTTGAAAACCTATGTGGCAAAGCCGGACTGTCGATTTGACCATTTTGACTTTTACCACCTGTTCCCCCCCGCCAGCCACGACCCTTGCGAGGGAAGGACGCCGACTCGGCAGGGCGATGGGACTTCGGTGGAGTCTTCGACGGCGAGGAATTCCCGCCCGGCGCTCGACGGCGCACCGATTCAAGCGTCGATGTGGCCATTGCTTCGCCGGCAGTGGGGGCTATAGTGTCCGCATCAGTAGAGGGCAGCAGGCTCCCGGTGTCACCGCCACGGCTCGCGGGGCCCGGCCAGCAGGCGCCATACTACCTGGCCTCACTGCGCCATCCTCATCGCATTGTGGGGCTGGCACGCAGGCGTGTGGGCCGGGGCGGAAGGTTGGTGCTGCGAAACTGATGTGACCGCAACTGCCCTCTTAACAGCCGCCCTTCCAGCAGTCTATCTCTTGACACTTGGTGCACATTGTTTTTTGAGAAAACAGGTTCTTCACCTCATGATGCTGAAAGAACAATTGTAGAACATTAGAATCTGATAACGTTTATGCAAAAAGTCGATCATCAAACACCCCCCCCTCCCATGTCCCCGCACACCACCTGTCATCGTATCCGCCATGTTCTGTCTTTTGCTCAAGTCTGCCGTGTTTGAACGTAATGCAGCCAGATGAGCTGGATTTTCTAATGGGGCCTGGGATTGCTTGACACTTGACCCCTATGCCCAACTGCCCCACCTCCTGCTCCCTGTCCCCCACCTCCTGCTCCCTGTCCTCCATCTCCTATCCCAGTTCATCTGGTCACCGACGTGTCCGAATGTTTTTTTTTTCTTAAAACCTGATCACTCATTCCTTGATGTCCTCATGTGAAATGCTCCAAAAAAGTTGGTAAAAGTGGGGTCCTAGGAAATCATCTGACCACTCAATGATTTTTGGCATTTGACATTCAAGCTGCTTAGTTTTCCACGTAAGATTATATTTAAATGCTCTTGTAAATGATTTTACCATCAGACCTTTTTCCACAACATCTCCAATTCTGACCTCCCTTACGTCTGTAAGATTCCTATAATTGAAACAAGCTTGATATTTTTTCCCGAAGAGTTCTTCATTTTTTTGGGGTCTTTTGGTAAAGTCACATAGATATGTTAAAAGTTTATAAAAATAAAAAAAAGAACTGCGTTTCGATCACAACACAAGCGATTGTCATCAGGAGGAAAAAAGAGGGGCAAAACTTTCGAAGGCAGGCTGTTTTTAAAGGTTTAAAATGGGCGTAGCCCAAGGGTCATAAACGAAGTGGGCGGGGCTAGTAATGTTAATGTGAGAAATTAGTATGTTAATGTAAGATCAGAGAGCGACCTCCACGACGAGCGCGCGGAGGTGGCTATGTTAATGTGAGAGATTAGCATGTTAATGTACGATTGCAGAGCCGCTGCTACGTCGAGGTCGGCATGCGTAGGTGGCTATGTTGGTGTGATAAATTTTACCTGTTCCCATCCTGCCACCTTCCGATGTTAGTGTTTTTTTTATTTTCCCCGTGGCTTTGGTTCTCCGATTTTACATTAACAGGTTAAATTTATCACACCAACATCACTAGCCCCGCCCACTTCGTTTATGCCCCTTGGTCTACGCCCATTTTAAACCTTTAAAAACAGCCTTCCTTCGGCAGTTTTCCCCCTCTTTTTTTCCTCCTGATGACGATTGCTTGTGTTGCGATCGAAACGTCGTAGTTTTTTTGTTTTATTTTTATTAATTTGAACCTATCTACGTGACTTTATAAAAGACCCAAAGAATATGAATTCCTGCTCGGTGACAGTTGCCTTTCTGATCAAATTGCGATTACAAATAGGTTTAACTGACACTTTGCATCTCCAGATCAAATCTTCAATACTGACATCCAGCCTTGTGACACCACTATTCACCTGTCTCTTGACCTGATCTGTTCAAAATAAAAAAAATCCTTCTAATCTCAAATTTTGAAGTCCTAACCTTGTTCTCCACGTGAAAAACTTCTGCTGGTGATGGTGCTGGATGGCCTGCCTGCTTTGCAGGGAACTCCATTGCCAAACTGATAGCCCATGATAAAGGTGGCACTTCAGACAACCCTAACGATTACCGCCCTATCTCAAGCCTCTCTAATCCCTAACTCTGCCCTATTCCATCCTATCCAATCTGGCTTTCAAGAAATTATATAGCAGTCTGTGCTATACTCTACTCTTGACTATATCTTCAACAGTCTTGAATCTCTTCCTCGTCCCATCCTTTTTCTCGATTTGTCTAAAGTGTTTGACACTGGATCACGCTGGAATGTAGCAAAGGCTAAAATGCCGACATTTTTCATATTGTTTAATCAACTTGTTTTGCAACTACTTATCTGACCCATTTCAAATTGTCTCCATCAATACATCTCACAGTAGAGACCCCCCTACTAAGGGAGTGTCTTTGGTCTGTGCTTGGCCCGATCCCATTTGTTATGTATGTCAACAATCAAGGTATCTGCTAATCTGCACTCTGTGATATTTATCTTTTTGCTGATGATAGCCCTCACCGAACCCTGGAAGTTCTATGGAGGAGTTAAAACAGTACAACAGGATTTCGATAATTCTTGAACTTACTGCCCTAAAACTGGTCCTCCATGCTAAAAAGACCAATATATAATGCTCCAGCTGCCCTAAACCTATTTTGCCACCGATGCACAATGGCTCTCAACTCGCACCCTATTTAGTAGGTTTACAATTTTAAATCTCTAGGCATTATCCTGTACTTGATACTCTCTTTCAAGACCCACATTAATCATACGGCTTTCAAGATAAAAAAAACTAAATTGGATTTCTATACATAAATGCTGCATTCCACCACGACTCCGTCTGAGTATTCGTAAAGCCACCATCCTGCCAATATTTGATTATTGTGACGCCATCTCTCGCCTAGCTCTTTAAACCTACCTTAAAACGTCTTGTTCCATGATACCACTTCGCTATCTGTGTTGCCCTTGACAACTCCTATAACCCATTGTTGCAACCTGAACATCAACTCATCTGTCACACCTAGGTCATCTTAAACAAATCCCTCAATTGCCTAAATGACCATTTAATTCATCTAGCTTCCTCCCGTAGCCTCAGAAGTCTCTTTATTCCTACAAAGAAAGTATTTCTGCACTGCTTTTCCGCGTTTCTGGAATACCCTTGCGGCTCATTTACAGCTTGGTTTCCTCCCTTCACTTCCCCTATTTATTGATCTCTTAACACACAGCATACTTGCACCTGAACCCAACATTGTTATGACACCTCTTGCTCTAAAATCTTCACAGTTTTTTTGTGTTTTATTCACAACTGTTAAACACCTCCTTTGTTCGTTGTGCAATATTCTTTATGGACCCTGCTTTATTCGTTCTCTCCAATGTTGATGTTTGTCTGTTTTGTTGTTGCTATGCTTACGCAACATGGCTTTCCCATTATTCTATTATATAAACACCCAGGTCTGTGATTCTGTCATTCTGTCATTCTGTGACTAACGCGGCACGGATTGGTTGAAGTGCGTCACGTGACCGTGACCAAGCAGCCAACCAACGCTTGGCGGGGCTATAGGGCGGGTGAAAGTCCGCATCGAACCAAACCCCCAGCAAGGCCATCTACTTAACGACGAGAGGAAATTCACACGAAATGTCGTTTTCAATTAAGTATTCCAGATGTAAAATGCTATAAGCTATTAATGAAGAAATAAAATTATCTAGTTCAAAACATAATACAATTCAAAATGTTTCATTTTAAAACTTCAAAACGGAGCATCAGGTGCTTGCATGAATGTGTCGTTTGTGTGCAATTTTTTTCGTGACGTTCCTGGCCAAAGGCCGTAAATGGTTGTGAGGGGGCGCCATAGGCGCCCCCGAACAACCCCTAGTATAAAATAAGCGGAAACTGTTTAAATGGGATCATCCATGTAACAAATCTAAATAAACTTAAACTTCTCATCTTCCCTCTTACCACCTTACGTAGAATGCTGCTCGACCGCTTACACACGCCGCTGGACAAGCTGCTGCAGCAGCTGGACCCTGACGACCTGCCAGGGTGTGGGAGCCCCCTAGGAGACGATAACGGAGCCTCCTCTTCCCATGCTACCTCTTCATCATCGCCCGCAAGATGGGCCCCAGCGACCACCAGCCTCCATCCCACTTCCTGCGGTATATATGTTGAACGTCTTTTGCACTGAACGTAGTCAACCGTGCTAAGTGGAGGTGCTTCCCTTGTGAGGCTGTCGTTTGTAGAGATGTGTGCTTTTAAGATCTGTGCTTCGTCTGTGAGGCTATTGTGTTTCCTGTACAAGGCCCTTGTGTGCTTCCACCCTGTTTATAAATAGGTGGTCTCTGTGGTCAGGCTGTCAAAAGGTAATACAGTGATATCTCGATCATTCCTGGAGCTTCATTCACAAATTGAGACTTCGGATATTTAATAACTTAGGACATTAGTATTCTGAGGATGCATTCCCAGCCTTCATAATTTATTTTTTACTATAAACACTTCATAACTAACCATTAATATTATAAACAAAGATAATTTATATTGAACATTATATCTTTTTTACTGATCAGTGTTACAATAAAAAAACGACGTAAAAGAAACCGTGTACTGTAAAATGTATTCACTTGCCAGTGTCGTCTTTGGTGCTGTCATAAAGTTTCATTGCCCACCAAACACCATAGCTCCTTACTTGCTTCAGTGGACGAAGGGATTTTGGAGTTGTGGGGAGTGCAATGATTGGCCGAGATTAATGTAAACATTCTCAAAAATCCATATCTTATATAATTATATTATTTATTTGGTACTGTAGATCTACAAATGTATTCATTTTCGGGTTTATTTTTATTTTTTTACTTTATTTTTAGCTTTCTGTGTTAAGTAATAATAAATCCAACGTTCGTTATACTGAAACTTCATTTATCGAATATACGCATGTCAAGGTATCATTGTACAATGATAGGTGATCATAAGTACGTGAATTTTCGCAGGCTTGTGTGTGAGTGATAATGGCAGTAAAATCAGATATCCTAGTGCGCAAACAGCCATGTGGAGATACATGCTTAGAATTACAATGTGCGACAAGAAAATAAATAGAAAGCATATGCAGGTTGAAATAATTCAAACTGTTAAGATAAGTAAGTCTGCTCGAGTAGAACAGGTAACCACTCATAGGAATGATGGACAATAGTCAAAATCAGTACCGGAGTGGCAGCCAAGGAATGCTATGCATCCGAGAGGACCGCCACCAGACAGGAGATGGATCGATCAAATCGGCTTGTGTGTGTGGGTGCAAGTGGATCGTTGCATTGCAAGATCATGAGAGGCCGTGGCTTGGGGGAAGCCTTCATCCAGTGGTGAATTGACCACGTCTGATGAGGATGCACAGCGCTCGCCCTGCAAGGCTGATATAGGCTTGTCTTTTTTGTGGCGGTGTCTCCATCACAGATCGCCTGACGCCGGAGGATCTGATGGCTGCGATCCGTGCTTGCCGCTGGCGCCACTTCAGGCCTCGGTCCCTGGCCTCCCCGTGCGGCGGAGTTCCACCTGGGCCTCTGCCGGGGCCTCCACAGGGCGGCACGGTGCTGGCGGTTGCCTGCCCACGCACCTCGGCGCCTCGTTGCACAGGTTCGCACCTCCTCCGCTTCCTTCTTCCCCACTCGTCACTTGCCCCCTGGACTAAGAACATCCAGTGTCATAGTTGTTTGTGCTTCTGTGGTTTAAAGGCTGTAATCCACCTGGGTAAATTTAGGCAACCATTGCTGGCAACCTTCAATGGCAGTGGTTGCCCAAAGTCTGGGCCAATCTGATCACAGCGCCCTCTAGTGGGCAACTGGGATGGCGAGAGCCAACCAGGTCACAGAACTCAAGTGACTATCGTCTGATGTCAAGCCATTTCTCTTCATTTGAAAAAAAATCTGATATCAGGTCACAGCATGCGTGGAATCTGGATGACATGGTGTGGTGAGAAGATGTGGCAGGTTGCATGATGGTGTAATGAGCGTGATTGGCCTATGAGCCATTTCGGCAGATTAATTTAATCAAAATTAATTTACAACCTTTAGTCCCATCACTGTGAAGCAAACAGTACAGTGATTTCCAAAGAGATATCTCACTGTTCCTTTGCCACAGTTGGTTATGGTTTACATGTTGCTGGTGCCAATTGCTGGAAATGATTGCAATAAAGTTTCCCAAGTAGATAGTAACCTTCAAGTTGCCGCTGTCGGTCGTGTGTGCAGGCTTCACTTTGGAGCACTACCACAACCACCTGGTGCAGCTGCAGCGGCAGCAGCAGGAAGCAATGCAGACATCAGGTCCGGTGCAGGGTAGCAGCGCACAGGTGGGGATCCGCACGCACTGCCGCTGTCACACCCAGACTACCCTTCACTGCCACTGTCCGACACTCAGACGACCACACAACTACTGCTGTCACACGCACACGACCCGTACGACCGCCGTCGCACAAGACCACACCACTGAGGTCGTACGAGCCCGCACTGTGTACCACTGCTCTTAAGCGTGGCTGCGTTGCTATATTTAGATTTCAGCATTATTTTCCTAACGCTCCTCCACTGCCTGCTACTCGCTCCCTTCACACAGTCGTCGCGGACTCTGGACTCGGAGAGCGCACAGTTCGCCGTATCGGCCGTGCTGGGGGGTGCGGAGTCTGTGCCCCCCCCGCCTCTGGCAGCGGTGGCACGAGCGGTTGTGGCTGCGGTGGGGGGGGTGCGTGGCCGCTCCCCCAAGGAGGTGGAGGCCGGCGTCGTCCTGCCCCCCCCCACGCAGGTCAACGGTATCTTACAGCCTCGAGGTGAGCCTCTCCGCCAGGTTTCCATTCACTCGCTCAAAGAGAAGTGGCGTTTGTCCAATAAACAGTGGTTTGGAAAGTGTATAGGGGAGGATAGCCGTGTACACGCTTTTTGGACAACGAATCCCACTTTTGTTTTGTATGGAAATGCGCCTGTGTGTGTGAACGTGTGCGGCTGAGATCAACTCGGTCTCAAATTAATACCCGGTGTGTAAACATCGCCTCTAGGAGACAAAGGCGTTCGGGCGTGCTGCTGGCCACCCCCACCCCCTGGTGTGCCGTGCCGGCCTTTCTGAGGTGCTCGCTAACAGCACTTGCTCTAAAGGTCTGTTAAGGCTATACGTGGGGTCTTTGTTTTTGTGCGTCCGCACTTTCTTGTAGGAATGTGCAAGCTCCCTGTCCCATCTGGCACCGCCGTGGGTACCATGATCGAGCTGGTTGGCCATCGGCTCTCTAGACCCCCCATGCCGGCGTCCCTCTCCACCAGCGTCACCAGTGTCGCGACCATCGTCACCACCGCTGCGCACGACCAGCCAGTGCTCTGCACTGCCGCGGTGCCTACGAGTGGCCTCACCAAGTCGCCGCACCTCAACGGCATCCAGGCGGTGCCGGTGGTTCTTGCGCACGCGCCCGCCCGGCCGGGCAGCGCCCCTCTGCTGCTCAATGCCCGGACTTTGGCGGAGTCGCAGACCGCGGCCAGCGGTAGGACTTTAACGCCCGGCACGGTGGTGACACTGCCCTCAACCCCGCCGCCTCCACCTCCTCAGCAGCAGCTGAAGCTGTCGTCGCACAGCCTGGGCGTGAGTGGGCCGGTACCTAAGGTGGCGGCCCCGCTGCCTGTAGACGGCCTGGCTTCCAGGTGAAGGAGCGCGGCTCGCCAGCCCCTCGTTTGGTGACCCCGTGAGCGTCTTGTCATCAGCAATAAGCAGTGCGTGCCGCGCCATGCTAGGACATGACAGCATTTTTATGGATGGACTGTGATGTATGTGTTAAAAGAAAAAAAATATTTTCCATTTTATTAACTTATTTCAATAAAGAAAATTGGCATTTGTGCTCTATGGTCTAAAACTCAAAACAAACTTTCGAGAGTTAATTTATTTCTGGCTCTGCCTCCTGCAGTAAGACTTGAGGAGTAGACTGCCACTTTTAAGGTGTCGGACATCCCAGTGGCAACAGAAGGAATGTGACAGATGTTTGTGCGAGATGGTTTTTGTCGATGCCTGCAGGAGGATCTACCACCTGCAACTACCCCAGTTTTGTTACAGGAGCTGCTAAGAGATTAAAATGATATGAAAAAAAAAATTACAAAAAGGAAAAAAAATGTTAGAAAATATTTAAAATCCATAATGTTACTTGAACGCTAAACATTTACTGTTGAGATTTGCACTTGTTTCAATGTGAAAATGACATTAAGAGTATTTAATATTGCGCTGCATATTGATTGGTCATCGGATAGATTCCCTCAATCGGGAAGGTGGTGATGACGGTCTAATCACCCTTGTGAAATTCCCAAGCGCAAACTGCAACTTTGAGCCGTGGAACGTCATGATCATGATTATTAAGATTAATCAAGCATAAAAACAATTGTACATTTGACTGTCTGTAAATGTCCCAGTGAACTACACAAAGGGTATTTTCCCCGCACCCGCCCCCTACCCTCCAAATATTGGGCTAATTGTGAAATTCAGAGACTTGTCTGTAAATTGGGGTGGAATTTGTTTAGTACAAAAGAGAAAAATCGCAGCCATTTTCGGTCCACGATTGGTGTCTTCATTGCCCTTTGGTTACATTTGGTCTAACCTGCAAAAAAGTGGCCAAATGAATGCGAACTTTGAGGCTTGCATGGTGTTTTAAAACAAGAGACTTTGGCTTTTTCTCATTTTAATCAGATCACATGATTTCTATTTTACCATTTTATGAATACGTCATACATTCTTAAGGGAATAATTGTGTGAAATATTCTTCCCTTTACAGT